AAGGTCAGTGTTTATATGCATAATTTAATTTAATATCACTAATGTTCATATAGGTCCAAATAGTCAACATTAACATGAATCTTTGAGTTATGGCTTCCAAATCTTGATATACTGTGTTCCATTATGTTTAAAGACAGATTAAATTCAGGTATAGGGTGAGTATATTATCACCTCTCTCACTACGTTTTCAAAAGGAGGCATCAGTCTTTTCATAACCCTGACTTTACACAAAAAAATTTGATGCCCTTGAACAAATTGGCTATAAACATCTTTAACATAAACATATTAAAGATATAATTCAAATCTCATAAGAGTGCCACGAAGACACCAGTTTTTTAACAATTGCCAAACATCCTCCTCATACTTGAGTTTTAAATTGAATTATATCCATAAGAAACCGTTTGTAAATGGTTATTACATTCTGTCACCAACCTCTACACTGGAACATCAAGCTCAGGGCAATGAAACATTCTATTAAGTTTTCCTATACATGTCTTTTATTATTTATCTTTTTATGTGTACTTTCTGTTCATGTAAGTTAAAACCAATTTTTACTTGCTTAATAGCTAAAAAATATACTGTTATTTAGCTCCTTTTAAATAAATTGCAGCATGTATGTTTGTGTATATATATGAAAGTAAAAGAACCTTGGATGTCTTTTCTCAGCCCAAAACCCAAATGCACTTTTTAAAAAAGCCATTGACTCTCACTGACTTATTGCTCACCATGCACCTTCTAACCTTGATCTCCTCAGTGCTGGCTTGCAAGCACGTGCCACCATGCTTATATTTTTATTTTTGTTTTTTACATGGGTTCCCAGGTTCTAACTCAGGTCTTCATACTTGAAAGACAAGCATTGGGCTGGATGATGCCCTTTCACAGACAATCAATATTTTTTTAAATAGATGCACAAGAATTACATATACTCAGGGAATATAGCATTCAGTTTTAATACATGAACACAATTCATAATGTGCTGTGGCATATTGAGTTGAAAAAATTAACATTCTCTCTCCAGCTCCTTGGAAGTACACAATTGGTTGTATTATCCAATGTACTATTCTGTAGAATCTCAAAACTCCTTATGTCCAATTGAGCTGTTAAAAACCACTAACTGAATGTTGCTCATTCTTTCATCCTTTTCTGAGCTATTTTAACTATTGTTTATGATTCTTATCTTTATATTTCTTTATGGAGAAACAACAGCCTAACTTAGGATTCACATCTAAGTATACTAAATTTAAGCAGCACCTCAACAAATTTGTTCTGAGTTAAGAAATGGATTCTTTAGTGTCAGAATCAATTTACTGAATAAAATTTGTTTAAGAAGGTCTTAATTCATATATTTGACAAAAAAGTCATCTGTAAGTTTTTGAATACTAAAAATAATTCCTGAACCTAGAAATCTATATTTTTGTAACCAATATTCCTTAAATCAATTTTTATATGTAACAATATAAACAAAATTATGAGAAATATTGTTGAATCGCAATCCCTGGGTTTTGTATTTCTTGCATATGCTACATACCAGCACAAACTCATATAGCTTATCACCTGCCAGCACCACATTGAAACTACAAGCTTTGTTTGGTCTACATAATGTATGTGCAGATCCAGTCTGAAGTAGTCCGACCATCTCCTATCTGACACACAGTCAATGAAAGGAGTCTATCCAAGATCTCATCCCCAAACTATAAACAATATAAAAATCCAAACAGTATCTAAATCTGCAAGTCTTAAGGAATTGTCTAATATCTATATATATGCGTGAGTACATATCATGCTTGTCTTTCTGTGACTGGTGTTTATATTCAAGACAGAATTTAAAAGAACAATCTTAAACTCTATGAAATAACTCAAGGAGATTAAAGAAGATGGGAAATATGTCTTAATGTACTTAATAACAATAAATTCCAGAATGACATTTTAAAAAACAAAAGGCATACAGCTGAATTTATAATGAAAACAATTCAGAAATTGAGAACTGAACACACTGAAGAAAAATATTGGTGATAACTCAAGTTAAAATGATAATGTACAGAAAAAAATCAATAACCCCACTATAAAAATATAGAAATGAATTGGGTGGAAGAGACAATATCAGGATTTAAAGATAAAATAGAAGAGGAATTAGAAAATAAAGCAATCAATATGAAAACGATGAGGTATTTAAATTGTAGTCATGGAAGAATCCTGAGCCAATGGATAGACTTTTCAGTAAAATCACATAGGAAAACTATCACAAACTAAGGAAAGACACACATAAATACAAGAAGTATACATAACATCAAACAGATAAGACCAGAAAAGAAACTCCCTCCAGCATATAATAGTTAAAACACTAAATATAAAGCAAAAGGAAAAAGCACTGTAAGACACGATATAACCCACAAGAATGATACATATTTTGTAAATTGAAATTTTACACTAAAGAAGGCTCAGAAAGGATATATTTCAAGTTTTAAATGACCACAGATGCCCATCTAGACAATCGTACCCAGCAAAACTCTGCCAAGGTTTATAAAGAAAGGTAATACAGAGGGAATTGGAATGGGAAGAAATTAAAAAAACAAAACAAAACACTGAGGATGTTTGAAAAATCAAGAAGGAATTACATTAATTTTTGTTTATCTAAAATTATAAATAATATATGCATATATGTATGCATATAATATACACTTTACATGAAATTATGGCAATTGGGGTAATAATCCTAACCTCAAGACACATATATATTTTAACAAAAACTCCATCACCAAAAAAGAGAAAGTTCCTTTTTAATTTTTGACAAGAGAAACATATAACAGAAACAAAACTAGATAAGCTTTTGCTGTTGTCTTTGATTTAAATGTATGTCCCTAATGCCTAAGACACTAGATATTTAAACACAGGACTTGATGGAATCAAGTTTGTTCCTCTTTGGGGATCAGCACTTCTAATATAGGGAGATGTTATGTGTGTTGTCTAGGAAGAAAAGCAATCAGTAGTCCTGCTCAGCTGAGACTCCGATAACAATGTGAACCTATGAAACTATGACCCACAACAATTACCAGCAGGGCAAGACAGCCACAAAAGTGCAATATTGCACTATATCTTGGGGCTACCCAATAACTTTCTAACTGGACTTAAGGGCCCCTGAACAGGTATATTTCAATGCCAGTACTGTAGCTGTGTTACCCTCTCTAATGAGGACATAGAACTAGAGAATATATTACTGCTACTTTCCTACCTCTGTATAATTTATAATTTCACTCTACTTACCTTTATGCCAATCGATGAACCTAGCTCTAAAATCTCATCAAAGAAAACTCCTTTTGCAGAGATGAAGTCCCTCACAACAACTCACAACTGGTAACAGTGCAGAAAACAACTGAAAGTGGCCTGCCGAATACATATTTAATAGTCCTTATACATACAGTTAAGGGAACATTATGGAAGAGGGAACAGAAAGATTAAGAGGCAGAGAATAAGCAACTCTGTTGCAGATTGCCTTCTATGTATGATAGGGGCTGAGCCTATAAAATCTTAACAATATGGCTGCCTAAACCAAACTAGTAGGATGGCAATACCATTTGATATTCCAATATGGATGTAGGAAATCTCAAAATGCCCCATCCCAAGATGAAGATCTACAGGAAGTTAATGAGTGCTATGAATGGGAGATTCAGTCCTACTCAGGGCAGAAGTCCTTAATTGATCTTCCAATACCAAGTAGTCATCCCTAAGATCATATATATGTGAGCAACTATGAATAGACTTAGCAGTTTGTATATTATAGATTATATACAAAGAGAGACATAATTAAGAATGGTAACAATTAAAGAAAAAAAAGAGATAGAAAGTTAAAATGGTTGGGGTTGTTGATCATAGGAATGATGGGAAAGAGTACAGGAGGAGGATATAAATGCAGTACTCATGTAAGAAACTCTCAACAGAATAGAAAAGTAATGTATGAATAAATATTGTTTGGAAAGTTACCAGTTGAGCATTATGGCATCTTAAATAGGAATGGGCCTTAGGAGAATGTATTTGTATACCATGATGATGAAAACAAATATTTCTTTTTATTTTAGTGTTTCAGTGTGACAAAGGTAGTGTGTTTGGGGAAGAAATGGCCATCAGTCACAACCTTCCCACTCTGTTTGTAGACAGCTGTTTGTTCTATTGTCTTTCTTGTTTGGAATAGGAGAAAAAAAAAAAAAAGGAAAGGAAAGGAAAGGAGGAAAGGAAAGCAGAGAGTTCATGTTTGAGCCATACGACACACAAGCAACTTCACAATAGAAGGAAATTCTAGAGTGACTCAAAAATATATTGTGAAACCCACGGGAAACTGTGTTATAAAACCTATCAGTAAATCTTCCAATTGTTGATATCACAGCTAAATATAATATAATACATTAGATTATATTCAACTATTCTAAGGTTAAATACTAACTTTATCTCATCATCAGGCATAGAAAGAGGAAAAAAGTCAGTGAGATCTCAAGAGGAACTCTTGGTAAGTAGGAAAAACTGGAAATGCCACGATAGACACCTTTATGGAATATCAAATGGCAGACACTCAACAGGAGCTAAGCAATGACAACAAAATCTAGAAATGTAGATATAAATTAACATGTGTTACCCAACCTCCCCAGTGGCTTTTTCATTTTGGGGGGGGGGACTTTACAGAATTACAGAATGTGGGATAGCAGATGCATGCCTCTTTGACCTTGAGATTCTATTAGAGGTTCTGAACCCAAATACACTGATCTCTGGTTTACTTTTGCTATTCCTATTCTGTAATACTTAACAAGTTAAACCCTTCTGTTTCATCCATGAGTTCATAAAAAAAAGTTTGATAAGATTGTGCCTGACCCATAATGCTTCTGACAGACACTTTGCTATTACTCAGAGAATGTGAGCTAAGCTACCAAAATCTAAAGAATGCTTTTCACAGATGAGCTACAAATAGAACCTGAGTCAAAGGGTTCTGCTCCTGTGATGTTCTTTGAGCTCACCTGTACTCCTGCAGGAAAACTTCGTTTTGTGGTCACACAGCCGAATGGTGCCATTGCAGCCTTTTTCATCACTGCCATCTTCACAGTCTTTTTCTCCATCGCAGCGCCACAGATCAGGGATGCAGTTTCCATCAGGATGGCACTGAAACTCATTCCCAGTACAGCCAGCAGGAGAATGAACTTCTTAATTTTAAATGAAGAAGGAGAAAATGATTTTTGTTTTCTATTTGGGTTATATTATTACTCTAGAGAAATTATATGTTTTACTTTAACAGCTATGAAATGTTCCAGCATTTCAACTCCACTTTAAAAACATGAATAATTAAGAGAAAATAATATTTACTGTCTCTTTCATATTTCCTGAAGGTTTACATAAATGATAAAAGAGACCGATGGATGCTTTACTGTTCTCTTAATTAGTGCCTTCAGGAAGCATTTTCTCCAAGCCATGTAAACAAAAGTCTATTGATAAGACTTTGCTTGATAGTTGACATTTCTGAAGTAATATCTTTCAAATTACGAAGAAATAAATAACCAAAAAAAAAAAAAAAATAAGCACTTTGTGACTAAGAAAACCTTTGGAAAATAGAAACTGAAAGTTGTAGAAGCAATGAAACACATACATACAGTAAGTAAATTCAAGAAGCAAGATTTCATTTCTACTGTCAAAGCAAAACATTTTAAAGATGTTTAATAAAGTATTATGTTTTTAAATTCTATTAAATCCTACTTGAGAAAGCATACAATATCTAGATACACTACCATCTGACCTCTTGATAAAATGGTAGTATAAATGAATCATCACTAAGAGTAAGGGATATAAACATCGGGGCATAGATATATCTTATACTATAACAACTGAAAAATTCAAGTATAATCAATTTTTTAAAGTTTCAAAATAGCTACTATAGTATTTACCAGTATTTCCCAATACTGTTATAAAATAAATATATAAATATATATTGATGACTGAAGTTTCAATGTAATAAATTACATTACTATAAAAAATTGTATATGTTGTATTATCATTCTTAGCAAAGATCTTTTAATTTACCTGTGTTGACAATTATTCAACTACTTAATTTGTTGGCTTGATGGAGACTGAAGCAAGGATTTTAATAATAGGTTTACTTAAGATCAAGATTCTGATGTTATTAAAGCAACTACAAAGAACTTGAGATGTCCTTTTGTCCATCTGGAAGTGTTACAGTGAGGACTACATTTGAAATCTGTGAGTATTTTATCTACAGTGCTTGTGGTTGCTTGTCCTGTTATATAAATAGATAACGTCTTTGTTTTATTTAGGAATTTTCAATGACAATCTTTCAAGTGAATCATTATTATTAATACTGGGGAAGGTTTGGTATGGCTTCCAAAAAATACTGGAGGGGTAAACATTAAAAATTCAGAGCCAATAAAATGCTTATGAAGGCAAGGATAATAGACAAGTTAGTAGAGAACAGGGATTCCAGTCTCCATATTTAGATACATATTGGATTATATTTATATTTTCCTTCTTATTTTTTAACTTTATAAGTCTAAACTTTATAGGCTATTGCAACATCTAAAGGCTACTACAGACAACTAAATTATAGTCATTTACAAGCTAGAATGTAACCAGGTATGGTGAATTGGATGCATTATTTATATCCAATTTGGCATGACAGAACAATTCCCTTAAGTATATTCAGACATGTTTTTCATGTGTATATCCTGTTCTTTGTCACACTATTCTTCCCAGCTATCACTACCTTCTTGCATACACTTTACCTATTGTTGTCTCTGGCTTCATAGGAAACTGAATTTCTTTGAAAAATAAATTAAAATTGTATCTTCTATTTAGTACTCTCATGATTAGGTATTATAGTTTCTGAAACTGGATTTATATGTAATGTTTTACATTGCTACATATGCTCCCCTCAACCCATATAAGCTCTGCAGTACTTTTGACTATCAACAGAAGACAATACTTTGCATGCCTTTCAGCATTTGTTTTATTCCTATCCATTGTGTTTCCAATGCTTGTTTACAGAGTCCATTACCCTGTACTACACAGTAACTACTGTGGCTGGTTAAAGCCTGGTATGAAAATGAATCATTCATTTGCTTCCTTTTATTTTGTTAAAAAAAAAAACAAATAAGTGAAAAATGACTTATAGTAACACAGACTGTTAATTTTCCAACAGACATGTAGAAAATAAGTGTCAGAGATAGCAAATTCAGCAGTGTCTTCTCTACCCTCTTTATCACCACACCCCTTTGAACTTATAGAAGGGCCTTGGTCATAAGTAGGCTCAAACCTTAAGTGAAATTTGTTCATACAGAAATCAAGAAGAAAATAAGAACTCATTTCCTTTTTGTATTTAAGTTACTAAAATTCAGTCTTTTACTTCTAATAAAATTTAACATATATTTTACTGTTCTGTAAGGTCATGGTAGAAGTTAGTTTTTTATGACACAATCTGTAACTCTATTGCCTTAGACAGTTTAGTTTTTTTAGGGTTATTTCCTCAGCTGGTGGCAAGTCAGAAAATAAAAAAATAACTGCAGTAAGTCCTAAAATCAGAAATTGTGGTTAGTGATGTCCATGACCTATAAGAAAAACATGTAGGAATATGGTAAATTGTGTAAACATGAAAATACATCCAGAAAGAAAGTTAGAAACAAGATGAGTAATGAATTTTAATAATGTCACTGAAAACAGGATGGAATGATATAGACCCATTACACTGACGTGAAACACAAGTGTAAACTCTCTGTATTAATTTGGAAAAGTTTTAAATATTGCCCTTTTCAACCAACCATTGTGGATATGTGGGTGGCTACTTCTTTGGTGTTCATTTAAGCCATTAAATAGGAAGAAAGGATGTAAGGCTCTATCAAATAGGAAGAAAGGAAGCAGGACTCTATCAAATAGGAAGAAAGGAAGCAGGACTCTATCAAATAGGAAGAAAGGAAGCAGGACTCTAGAAGGCCCCTATCATCCCTGAAAGGAATACACTTTAATCACAATTCATTGGCTAAACATATATGTACAGATTTGGATCCTACCATCTAGATTACTTCCATTCAAAGGGGTATGACCAACTGGAAATGTATTGCAACAGTCAATCACTATTGCCCTAAAAGACACTTGATTATAAAACACTAAGTGTTAGTTACAGAGTGAGTCAGTCATAAGAGCAAATTCTAAAATGGTCTGGTAAAACAATGAAAAATTTATGGAAAAGAATAAAAGTTTAGTAAGCAGAAAGAATAGGAACAGGAAAGATCTAATAGCAACAGTTAATTTGAAGCACATACAAAAACATAGGATTTGTTGAATGAACTTAGATCAGAAAGGTTAGCAACAGAATCTTGTGGGCATTAATTAATAACCATGGCAAGATAAATTCAATTATATCAATATTGGAGATTTTGAAACACTGTAGTAATATAATTTAGTCCACAATGTGAATTTTCTCTGGCTACTGTTTGGGAAAATTGATAGTCTGAAGCTTGAATCAGATTCCAGATAACACCAGTTGTTGGACTGTCCAGGTCCAAATAGCAGGCATGGCTTCTGCTTCTGGAAACATTTCACAGGGATGTGGGCACCATGATAAGTGTGCAATTGCCAAGCCACAGCATAAATACTCATGGCAGGAGCAAGTGCTGTGAGGACAGATAAAATCCACTGTAGCCTTAGAGGTCTCACATGAGCCATTCTGATGACAGAAGCATAACAGGAGTTCTGAATCATGTTTAGTAATCAGCCAGAGGGAAAAGTAAGTGGAAGGGAAGATTCTTTCATATGGTCTTTGTCCTTTAGGTTCAAGATTGAACGCATTCTCCCATGCTAAGAATCATCACACCACTTAACTATATCAGTGCAAATCAAAGATTTATTTTTCACAAAGTTAGTGGAATTAATAAAACTGGGTGGAGCTTGTGAGCAGAGGTGAGAAGAAAAAGAAACAGGTGGGCAGAGACTAGATCTAGAAAATCATTTATATGACGGTAAATGTTTATATTTAAGCTGAAAGCAAAGGGAATAATAGAACGATATGAAGATCAAATCTTTTATTCAGATAAGCATTCCATGCATATAATATCAGAGGTATTTACATAATAGGAAGAAACTTCTATTACTTGTCAAAATGTGTGTGTGTGTGTGTGTGTGTGTGTAGAATCAAGATGCACAATCCGCACATCTATATTATCTTCTTGAACACTGGTTTATAATGAAGTTGCTTGCCTTAATAAACAAAATGCACACAAACATTTGCATTTTTTCTTCCCAATCATTAAAACAAGTCTTGTAGTTTTATTCGTCTTAACTCTCTTGCCAAATACAATCAGGTTCTGTTAACAGTTGCTGATTTTCCTCTATGTAGAGAGCAGCATCCCTCAGTAGAGCCTGCAACAACTGCTCTAACATTAGTTCCAAACTGTGTGACTCCCCTGAGCCCTGGCATCCTCAGCTTCAGAGCTTGGCACAGTCCATCTTTGTGCTATGGCTGTCTCAGTGGAGTGCTGGAGTTATGGCCCTGTGTTTATGTGCGTGCACATGCTGTTTTATTCTTGTGTTTCCACATTGCTGATGCTGGTTATTATATTTTTAACTAATGGAATTTTACTGAAATTTTTACCCTGATGCTATTTAAACCAAGCATACAATTTGGGAAATCTATTAAAGAAATAAATAAATACAAAGCTCTAGAGGAAATGTAGCAACTGATGTTAGAATTTATCTCAATATTTAAATGAATCAATTGTGACTAAATATTTGTAGTTGGAAGACTACCAACTCTACAAGAACAGAGAGAAATGGCAATTCCATGCACACACACACACACACACACACACACACACACACACACACACATTCATTCTCTGGTGTAGTATGTATGCTAAAGCCTTCCTCTCAGAGGAAAGAGAGTATACGTTTGAAAATATGTTTATTTTTTTTAAAATTTGAGTCCATTCTGGAAAATTATTTTTTATTGCCTTGATGGTTTTCTGCCTTAGCTTGCTATTCATTGTTCACTGCTTTGAAAAGTATAAAGCACTATGCTACCTGAGCATCAAAGTTATTGCAGGTTTTTGTGTCACATATGATTCTGCTTTGTCTGCCTTTCTTTCTAGATATGTGATTAACAATTATGTATTAAATATTCTCTCAGCAATGGAAGGCATTTGTG